GCAAAATAGGATGGTCCAGGTTCATGTTGCAAAATATCGTGTGATGAAATCATTCCTATTGAATGACTAGCTGGATGAGAATATTTTATTTTCTTTTTGTCCTCAGAAATGCACTGTTTACTCTTGGATTCTTAAATCTGAGGAACTTCATCTAGATTATCATAATGCATGATTCTGTCTAAGACTCTGCTCGTACCACCTGTTTCACCATTTTCATTCACGTCTACGATGCTGCTGTCTCTCTACAGTCGTCTTCTAATGTGTCTAAGAACTGTAAATGCTTTCTCCTGTCAATTTTTTTCTTTTACCATTTTGTGCAGAAAAATGAAAAACTCTGTATTCACAACTGTACTCCATGAAAACAGTAAGACTACAAAGATGGTGTCCTCTGTCTTTATGCTTTCTTGAGAGATGATGTAATACTTCAGGCAATGTAATAAAAAAAAACCGCATGAGGATTGTTTCACTATTGCATCGTCCTTCTAGGCGATTCCATCATTCTTCCATTTTCTTATGAGTTTAGTGTGTTTTTCTATCAGAATTGGCAATAAATGACAATTAATGGTGAAATGATGTAAGAATAACAAAATGGAAGATGTTTAAAATATAAGAAAATTGGTGTGCTCCCACCTAATGGACACAATGTAAGGGTACACGGAACACCTCCCGGTGCAGGACACAAGTACAATAGGAACTTTCTCTAACACACATGAACATTGTAACCTAATCATTTGTACCTTCATATTAATCTGAAATTTTAAAAAAAGCTAACAAAAAAATAAGAAAATTAATATCATTAAGATATTTTGATTATCATAGATTTATAAATGGCTCCAATGGTCTTATATGATAACTTCATGACGGAATGAGTTTCATTCTAATTTTTGTTAAAAAGCAAAAGATCTTTGGAAGACTGATAAAAACAGACAAAAGCTATGAAATATCAATTCTTACAAATAGCTAGAACTGCTTAGGAAAAAAAAGAAAAACCTCAAAATCTAAAATTGAGACTAACAGGGCCTCATGGCAGAATGAAAATTAAATCATATTCATAGATTTGGTCGTTTCCTGGAAACTTTCAAAATCTGGTTCACTAGAAAAGTGCCCCATAGGCTCGGCGCCCGTGGCTCACGTGGCTAAGGCACCAGCCATATGCACCTAAGGTGGCAGGTTCGAATCCAGCCCAGGCCCACCAAAAACAACAACAATGAAGGCTGCAACCAAAAAATAGCCGGGCATTGTGGTAGGTGCCTGTGGTCCCAGCTACTTGGGAGGCTGAGGTAGGAGACTCGCTTGAACCCAGGAGTTGAGGTTGCTGTGAGCTGTGATGCCAGAGCACTCTACCCAGGGGGAAAGCTTGAGGCTCTGTCTCAAAAAAAAAAAAAGAAAGAAAGAAAGAAAACTGCCCCATAAAAATACTCTTCCTTCACCCACCAGATCCAACAGTTCTCAGCACAAAATTGAAACCTAGCCAGGGATATTTCAATAGTCTTCCAATACGATGATGCCTGCCTCTGGGCCCCAGCAGCACTCTCCGTAAAGCCAGCAGCCCCTTGCCCAGGATATTTTCTCCTGGAGTTTGTCTCAGAATACAATGCGAAAGGTAAAATCATGACCCAAGAAAACAGGGCTTCTGGAATACTATTCAGACTTTAGAGCAAGGCACTAACAAAACTCAGACCACAATCAGCTGCCCAACGTTTACTGCTCTATACTCTTTCCAGTAAATGGATTTATTGTGAAGGATACAATGTTCCTATTCTCTTGGGTTTTTAAAAATCTTGTTTATCTTTTGTATTTCCAGTCAATCCATGAACAGTTTGACTATTGATCTATGATGTAGAGGAAATGCCTAAATCACAGACGTATTGTATTCTAACACTTTAAGAGTTGGTTGTTGTAGGAACTCAGAATATATTTTCTTCCATTAAAAAATTTTATACATGATAGTGAGATCTCCAGGCCAGCCCCACAAAATCCTTCTCAGCTCATAATGTTGAAGCACCACACTTTTACAATATAAGTTAGTAGGAAGCAATTTGGGTGGTGGTACTAACAAACAAACCCAAATATTGAAGCTATAGTCTCCTTTATACTGAACTTTACTTAAGGAAACAACTGGTTTAGTATAAGAAAATAAGAGAAAAGGTGGAGGCTTTGGGGGGAGAGACCTCTGCCTGCAAGAATTTGGGGGGGTCAACAGCAGCAGTTTGTTATTTCACTGGTCTGGTTTCACCTTGATGTCTTTTTTCATTTTCCTTCATATAGGCAAGAGGCACAGGAGCCAAAAGCAGGGTAGATTTCAGGATCACAGAGAAATACAGCAGTATCAGGGAGGAAGAGAGAAAATTAAAGGTTTGAAAGAGATTTACTTGATGGGGGGATTAAAGCATTTGCTAAATAAAAGGTAAGGAAACTGGAGAGAAGGCAGGAGACCCAATGTTAGAAGCGCCCCCCGCCAGTTCCCTCTCTAACCATAAGGTGGCGCCATGAGCCCAGACAGTCTGCTCCAAGGGGGGCGGCCATGCCGTGGGCGGAGCTCCCACGTGTGAGCCATGTTCCGCACTTAGGCTCTGGAGCTTACAGAAAGCCTGAATGAGACAGCATGTGTCGAAGTACACGTTGGCGCCTCAGCACTCAAGAATTGTGCCCCTTTTCTAAGGCCGCACCTGCCCACACCTTAGCAAGAACACCTCTTTCCTGCTGGGCACTGCAACCTCAAGGAAGATGCCAGCTAATTCCTTCCCACCTCTCTCCTCTATTTCCACAATGACAGGACTGAGACCCTAAGCTTTTCCTAATTCCTAAAGAGAATCTAGTCCAAGAGCATCCTACAGTCTGAGCCTTAAATACTATGAGGATGAGATGAGTACAGATCTATCACACGGGCCCAGCCTTGACAACACACCCTAGCAATCTCTCCCACTTTCATGCCTAATTGGACCACCTCCATTCCGGATGCAAACCCCACATATCCCCTGTGTGCATCTACCCCTGCTGGTCCTCCTTGCCTGAATTTGAATCCTCCTCCATCTTTGGGGAAGTGGTATTCTAACCTGCCACTAAGTGTTGACCACACATAATGAATGAAGTGAATTTAGAGAGGAAAATATGAGGCTCCAAAAAGATACCACCAGGCAGTCCACATCTGCCTCTCCCCTGCTGTAGCTGGACTCTGCTGAACCTCGGGGAAGCACCTGTTGATCTGTCCAAGAGACCTCCTAAGTCTCAATTCTCCTCTAGGGTCTAGGGGAACATCAAGCCATGAGCTTGGTGTGTGGTATAGTCCTGTTCTCAATTCATGGTAGTTTTGTAACAGTGATCATAATTATTATACTGCTTCCTCACGCTCACCAACCTGCTAAAACAGGCCTAAGTTACAAAGTTGAAGGAATCAGCAGGAGGGACGGAGGATCACAACAAAGTCACCAGTCTAAGCCCCATGCCCACTTGTACTCCAGGTCTGTGGCATAGCCTGTAGTCCCAGTGAAGAGTCTAGTGATGCTGCAGGAGAATCTTCACAGCCCTGGGGAAACCAACTGGGATGTGCATTCTGGTCTGAATGCTTTGGCCTCGGCTAAGTGGAGTAGAAATTAACTTCTAAGAACTTTTGCAACACCTCCAGAACTTTTGCAACAAATTCCAGCTACTGCTCAATCTTTTAGTTATAAAGGAACTGGTGCCTCAGATGGGAACTAGGAATGTCATGAGGGGCAAACAGCCTCATGTCGAGCTTTTAAATTACGGAGGTTCTCTGAATGCAGCCTAAAGGTTCCACAGTAGCAAAAGGCAGTCCTAGGCAAAAGCTGTGGGGTGGCAGGAGCCAAGAGCCCTCTCTCTGCCTGGTGCTATTCCAGGAGCCCTCAGAGTCTGCATCTGGCTGAGGTAGGCTTGCTCCCACGCCCTGGAGCTGTCTGTTTGCTCCTCAATATTGCTCATGTTCTACACAAGAGGCCACATGGAAAGAAAGCCTACCCAGCTATACTTACAAGCAACGCTGAGGCCAAAGCCACTGACCTCTAGGAAATTCAGGGCCTTTAAGAGTTAGTTAGGAGAGCCCAGAAAGCTGCTGTGTTGTTTGTTTTGTTTTTAAGGATCTACAGGAGGTGTTTTTTCATAAACTAATAAAGAAAGCTAAGTTAACTATGCAAACAGAAGCAGGATGGGCAATGTGAAAGGTCTGTTTTAATGTACTTGTACCCCCAACTCCTTCCACAAAAAAAATCTGAAGCTTTGGGGAAGAAGAATTGTGGGAATCACGGCCGTGGGCCATCAGTTTCTCAGACTTTCAGAATGACTGTTTACTGGGGTTCTGAAGTCGGGCAGAGGTGGTGGGCGGCACCTCCCTAGCTTTCTAGCCCAGGGGAAGACCACTCCGCCCAACCCCTTCTCTCCTTCCTCCCGACTCCCGACTCCGGACAGCCGGACAAGCCGGGCAGCAGCGGCCAGTGGCGGTCACCCTGGCGCCCTGCCTCCGCCTTCCTCACACCTGAGAGTCTCTGGGGACCCAAGGAAAGGAAGCTGTAGAAGCTGGGCGGTGGCCAAAGGATGACCTGCCCTGGTCTCAGTACCGCCTCTCCGGATCATGTCACAAGGCAGCCCTCACCCTGCGGGCAGTGCGCCCCGCTGCGGAGACCCCCAAAGCTATAGCTACCGCAGTGGGTGATGAAACTTTCCAGGCGCATTGCCGCAGAGGGCGCGGGCGGGGAGCCGGGCAGGGGCGGGGGCTGGAGAGCTGGTACCCGGGCTCACCTGTTCTCCAGGAGTAGGGTGGGGACTTGGGCAAGGGGCGAGGGCGCGCCAACACCGAATGCGTACCTCGGGGCGCTGGGTGGCAGAGCTTGCGTCCCCACCCTCCACAGCCCTGCGAGACCCCCAAGCTGCGCCGTCGGGTTGACATGGCCAGGAGCAGTTCCTGTCCCCGGCCAGGCGCGGGGGAGACGTGAGCGTGCACACGTACACACACAGCAGGGGAAGAGGCGCTCTAAGCGGCGCCCAACTTTCTCCTTGCCTCTCCAGGCTGGGGGAAAGGCAGCTGGAAGCAATCCAACCCTGGCGGTGCTTGGGGAGGGGTCGAACAAAAAGGGAGAAAAGATGGAGTGAATTTACTTTATTTATTTATTTAGCCTTTTTGTTTTTGCTTGCACCACTTCCATCCAGTGACTGGAAAGTAAAGGGAACCTGGAGCTGGGCGGCAAGTAGCGCTTTGGGAAACTGCAAGAGTGTGTTTGGAGACGGGTAAAGTTGCCTTTCAAGCTCTGGCCTCCGGGGCACGCGATGCTGGCGGCGGGCTGACTCAGGGCTGTCTGGGCCTCCCTCTCATTCTCCTGGAAATGATGCAAGTCTGACTGTCACCTGGATCCCTGCAGCCCAGCCTGGAATCCGTCTGGATGGGGGGAGGGACAAGAAACGACACCCCAAGTGTTGCATGGCCCACCAAAGTGGGATGATGGCACAGTTGCTCAGGCCACATACTGCACGTAGTGCTTCGGCTCCTGTCTTCACTAGTGCTTTTTTTTTTTAATGCAAAACGTCACAACGCTAGGAATTCCCACACGTGATCAGTTGCCCCACAGCATCACTGTGCCCAGGAAGCTGCTCCATCTATCAAAGGCTCGGGGCTGGGAATCTCACTAAATTCCAAATGCTAGGAAGAAGAAACTTTCCCAGCTTGACGCTGTGTGATGCGAGCCAGGGACCCTGGGAGGACGCTGTCCCAGCGCGGACCGCCTCTCTTGCCCTTCTTTAGTGGTAACTGGAGCTGGGATCTGCTTTTCTGAGCCCGTGCGGCCATTGCCCTGGAGCACCCGCACACGCGCACGCATCACTGGCCTCGCTCATACACACTCACACACACACGCACGCAAACGCGTGGCCGCCGCCAGGTCGGCAACTTTGTCGGGCGCTCCCAGCGGCGCTCGGCTTCCTCTCGTAGTAGTTGGGCACAGGCCCCGCCTCCCGGCCGTGTTGTCAAACGGGCTGGGGTCTCGGATTGGTCCAGCCGCCGGGACAACACCTGCTCGACTCCTTCATTCAAGTGACACCAGAGCTTCCAGGGATATTTGAGGCACCATCCCTGCCATTGCCGGGCATTCGCGGCGCTGCTAACGGCCTGGTCACATGCTCTCTGGAGAGCTACGGGAGGGCGCTGGGTAACCTCTATTGGAGCCGCGGCCGCGAGGAAGAGGGAAAAGGCGAGCAAGGAGGAAGAGTGGGAGGAGGAGGGGAAGCAGTGGAGGAGGAAGAGGAGGAGGAGGGGAGCACAAAGAATCCAGGTCTCCCGGCGGGAGGTTTATACCAAGAACCATGTGTGCCGAGCGGCTGGGCCAGTTCGTGACCCTGGCTTTGGTTTTGGCCACCTTCGACCCGGTGCGGGGCACGGACGCCACCAACCCTCCTGAGAGTCCTCAAGACAGGGGTTCCCAGCAGAAAGGCCGTCTGTCCCTGCAGAACACAGGTAAGTGCGTACGCCCCCTTAGCCAGGACCTGCTGGGAGAGGATACCGTTCACCCACACAGCGCACCCCGGGCATTTCTCCCTAAGCTAGACGCCCACCTCGGGCCACACAAACTCTTCGGGTGGTGCGGGACTTGCAAAGGGAAGCGCGAGGCAAAGCGAGGTCCGCGCCGTGCTCTGAGCGCCCGGAATCTGCACGTGCTAGCAGGGTGATGAAATGGCTGTGGCAGGACTTGTTGCTGTCCTCCCTAGGGTCGAGGGGAAATGAGGCAGCTCCTGACGCTGCCACCACCAACCCTAGCCTGTGAGTCCTGGGTCCGGTGCAAAGCGCACTTAATCCCCGCCCGCCGGCGGTAGGCACTGAGGGTCCCCGGAGCTGGGCTGCGCCCTGCACCGGGAGAACTTCCCTTTCCAGCAGGCTGGCCTCCGCAGGACCGCTCCTCCCCCGTCCTCAAAAGATGCCCGACATCCCAGAACTTTGCGGGTCACACAAATTGCATTACGAACTTTCCCCCTAGGGGCATTGCTCTCAGAAGGGAGGGTGGGGGCGGCGCAAAGCATACCTCCGCGGGGCTGCCGCCATCCCCTGCTTCTGGCCAGGTCGGCAAGCGAAGAAATGGTGACACGACCCGAACCGTGCGCCGCCTCTGCTCGACCGGCTCTTGGCTCACAGGCAAGCTGCAGAGCAGAGCCAGGCGTGCAGGGCACGGGGCTGGCCCTTTTCCCAGCTCTGGGGAGAGAAAGAAAATCTGCCTACGGCTCCTCGGCTCCGCGCCCCTCCCGCGGTATTTTGGGGGACCGTGCGAACGCGGCGGCTGCGGCGGCGTGCGCTCGCAGCACGAGCAAGAATGCACGAATGCCCATTAGGGACGCCCCAAGTGAGGGAATCGTGGTCTCGCGGCGTGCCCGGAACGCGCGTGGGGTCATCCGGAGCCTCTCACCTCCACGTGCCCGGGCCAGCACCCTGAGCTGGCGTCCTCCACACCCTAAGACCCTCGCCCACCCTTCCCCCTCTGGAACGCTTTCTCTGAGAACTGAACGTGATTCTCGGTAGTTGGTGACCCTCGACAATGCACGTCCCTCATTCTCTCGCTAGATTTAATCTGAATGCGGATTATCTGCTCCGACCCCGCCCTTCTTCCAAAATATACTTTTCTGATGTAATTTTGTGGTTGGTTTAAATCAGAGACTTGGGGAGGGGGGAGGGGAGAAAAAGAGGCTTTGCACGCGGCAGCCTGACAGTTAACTCCCTCAGTCTGTCCTTTCAGAGAAATGAATTAGGGACACTTTTCTGCAACGAAGGGCAGCTCCCGGGCCGCGGAAATTCTAGGGGATTAAGTGACACCTCACACTGGATCCCTAATTAAAAGGAGCCTCTAACTGCAGATGGTCGCGTTTCTGAAGGCAAGCCCCCATCTGACTTGACTCCGGAGCCCGCTTGCAAGCCTGCTCGCAAACCGCAGCTTCCCTACCCTGGTATTTAATGCGGATGGTTTGGAGGCGCTGCCTTAATAGGAATTTTGTTTTGATTTTTAGGTGTTGAATCATAAAGATGAATTGAAACTGCCTTTTGGACGCTGTCATTTGGGGGTCAGGAAGGAAATGACTGTGAATTACTAGCAGCAGCTTCCACAGACCCAAGCAGAGAAGGGTATTTCATTGATGAAATACAGTCTTCATCTTAAAACCTTATTTTTGTCTGCGGGTTTAAAAAGCTGAAATATTTTCTGCTCTCAAACTAGAAGTATTCCCACAAATACTTTAATAAAATGGAAGGGATGAAAAGAAAGGAAGAATGCTCAGACCTAACTTCTGGTTGTGATTTTTGTAAATTTCTCTGGCTAACTTTTACAAATATATTTTTCATGTATAAAGAATGAAATTTTGTTTCCCAGACCTTTTTAGGTCCTAACATAGCCGTTAGTAACTTTTAAAAAATTTTTTTTTCTTTTAGTTGTTACCAAGTTTTACTTAAAATGACCACTCTGCATTCTTCAGCATGGGTTAGAGTTTTGTATCTATTTGTGTGTAATTTTCCTTTTAGCGGAGATCCAGCACTGTTTGGTCAACGCTGGCGATGTGGGGTGTGGCGTGTTTGAATGTTTCGAGAACAACTCTTGTGAGATTCGGGGCTTACATGGGATTTGCATGACTTTTCTGCACAACGCTGGAAAATTTGATGCCCAGGTAAAAACCATCTAGTTAGAACATGAAGAATGTTTTGGGGTGAGCGTAGCATGAGTGAAATGTTCAGTCATTGGAAAGCCTTGTTAACAGATTGCCTGAGCTGTTCTTTTGGTATGTTTTAGTTCTGGCAAGACACGTTCTAGGTGTAGAGCCATGTGCCCACATCTCCCTCTTGCATTTGTGTTCAGAAAGCACTGGAGCTGTCATGTAGGCTAATGCATCTACACTCTTAAGCTGTGTCTCCACAGTCAGAATGGACTGGAGACCAAGGTCATCAGAAATAATAAACACCTGGTTAGGAGACACACTCCATGTGGCCACCCAGAACCCAGCCCCCAAAGCCCATTGCATTAGGAACAATGAAGGGCAGGGCAGGGCAGGGACCCCAATTATACATTTCTAAAGCTAATTTCACTTAATAAGGAAGACTAGATGAGACACAAAATTTGTAGCAATCAATCGTGTGTATGTGTGCGCACGCGCGCGCATGCAACCTGAATAATGCAGGGCCTTATTTAGAGAAATTTGTATTCTCTCCCAACCTGAAAAGGCAAAACCCTGCAATTCTACACTTTTCTTTTGCTCCATATAATAAATATAGTCAGGGCCTGACCCACTTCAGTGGTGCCAGGGTCCCAAGGGCAACACCAAGTTGCTGCTCCCAGCAGGGCAAGAACACAACAAGCAACCTTATGGCTCCACTGCCGACAACCTAGATACATTTTTAGATCACTTGTGGCATTCAGCTTACCGTCTTCATTTTCTCCCTGGCCTCTATGTGCCCTGTTGAAACACCCTGTTGTTGTATCTCATAAACTTCCTCTCCCGTTTCATTGGAGAGCGATGACAACGTTTGAAGGCAGCCAACAGTTTAGGTGTGATTTATGAACGTCACCAGTAACCATCCACTGACATCCTGTATTGAGCCTGACAAAGGCAATGCCTGGGAACCAGAAGGGGATGCGATGGGGCCCTGCGGCCCCACAGAGGATGTGCGGTGGCAGGAGGGGAAACAGAAAGCAGGGAAGGAAAGAAGTAGAACTTTGAACTCCTCAAGGCTCCCTTCTAAAGCATCACTTCTGGATTAGCTGGAATGAGGAAACGCAATAGGAAATCCGGAGGAAAGATGTGTATTTAAGGGCAATCCCACAGGATGTCAGGGAAGGATACCAAGAACAGATTGCTGCAGCCCTCACATAAAGTAATCTTCCTTTTCTCCTCAACCAACAGGAATATGTTCTCAAGTTAGAGACACCCCATCCCTTTCACATCAATTCTCAGCACATAACTACTTAATAAACTGGCACACCCTGCCCTCCTTTGCACTGGGCTCTCAAAAAGACCAGGGGCTCCAGGGAAGGTGGTGGGCCCATGTGGTTTCTCAGAGATCAGACATGATCTGTAGACATTGCACTTGCTTCCAAAGAGAGAACCAAAATACATGTGCTGGCTGTCTTTCCCTTTCCAACCTGAACCCATTTACTTTCTCGACTCAGGGACTTCCAGCCCTATCTAAAAACAGAGGGTGACCTCTCCAACGACAGCTTGTTTCTACAGTAATGGAGGGTGCCCGGAGCCCTGGGGAGGCATCCCACAGTGCCTCTCGGCCATAGGAGGTTGATAAGGGAGCTAACACCCAGCTTGCCTCCACACCCCCAACAGCTGTCTCCTTTCTAGGATAAGCACAATCTAATGGGGTTGCCAGGAAAGAGAGCTGCAGGCCAGATGTATGCCTGGCTGCCTTAGCCCCTGAGACACAGGGAGCGTGGGGGAGGGGCCGTTCGTTGGGCAGTTCAGACTCCAGATGCTGCCAGGCAGTGTGCCAGGCGGGCCTTTTAGAGGCAATAATCCTCACAGTTTAAAGGAGTAGAATCATTTTTGAAAAGGAGAAGCATACTCCTTGCAGGATAGAATTGTCTTTCTGCAATGGTGAATTTGGGTGTGAATTTGGATTGGTAGGAGACACTGAGGCAGGAAGGGGAGGCACAGTTAGCCCTCAAACCATGGTGTCACTTGTGCAATGGAAGGAAAAGGGAAAAGTGTGAGATTTGGATAAACAGGGACTCTCCACTTGGGAAGAACATTTGCTGAGAACCACAGATGAGTTATGGATTTGCATCTGGCCAAGTTCCCTCTGCGTTCCAGAAAAGCTGCCACCCAACAGCCAGCACCAAGCTACCATGAGGACAGACAGCCCTGGGAGCCCCAGTTGGGGAAAACTGAAAGAGTAGCCAGGGAGGAAGGAGGGTGATGTGAGTCTGCTGACCGAACATCTTTCATGGCCAAATGTGGGAGGTGTCATGTCACTCCAGAGGTGCGACCTGATGCAGCACCGCTCATCACCGGGGGGTGGGAGGTCATCAGCATTCTGTTGCCTGAAAGATCCAGTGGAAGCCCAAGAAGGGTAAATGTCCAAGCATGTAACAAGGACTCCTGTTTTCTGCTCCTCTCTCCTTCTCCGTACTCTCTGTTCTCAGGGCAAGTCATTCATCAAAGATGCCCTAAAGTGTAAGGCCCATGCTCTGCGCCACAGGTTTGGCTGCATAAGCCGGAAGTGTCCAGCCATCAAGGAGATGGTGTTCCAGCTGCAGCGGGAATGCTACCTCAAACACGATCTGTGCGCGGCTGCCCAGGAGAACACCCGGGTGATAGTGGAGATGATACATTTCAAGGACTTGCTGCTGCACGAGTGAGTACTGCCCCCACAGGGGCCCAGGGAGGATGACCCACCCCAGCAAGGCCGGCAGTGGGTGGATGAGAGCCGAGTTGCGTTCAGTTTTGAGGGGCTTGGCTTGTGGAGGCTGAAATGATGTCAGAAGGAGAAAGTTGTGGTTATACCTGCACTGACTCTCCCAGGGGGCCCCTTCCCTGCTCCCTTTCAGAAAAAGTAAAAGAGGTTTCCATTATCAGTTTCAAAATCACAAGCCAGAGAAACAGGATTTTTTTTTTTACTAAGCATGAAGTATGTAGATTCAGAAAGATTCTTCATCTTTTCCTTGTCCTGAACCCCAAGAGCTCTCTGAATATTCTGAGTCGCAGTGGAGGTGTCCTTACACACAGCAAATAGCTAAGAACATTAGTTGAACATTTACTAAGCACTAGACATGGGGCTAAATGCTTCATGTGAATTTTGCACTTAATCCTCACAACAGCCCTGTGAGCTCCATTTCTCATTGTCATTTCATAGATGAGAAAACTGAGACTCACTGAGGTGACAGGCACAAAGTTTTTGTTTTGTTTTTCCGAGACAGAGCCTCAAGCTGTCACCCTGGGTCGAGTGTCATTGCGTCACAGCTCACAGCAACCTCCAACTCCTGGGCTTAAGCAATTCTCTTGCCTCAGCCTCCCAAACAGCTGGGACTACAGGTGCCCACTACAACCCCCGGCTATTTTTTTTTTTTTTTTTTTTTTGGTTGTAGTTGTCATTGTTGTTTGGCAGGCCCAGGCTAGATTCGAACCCACCAGTTCTGGTGTATGTGGCTGGCTCCTTAGCTGCTTGAGCTACAGGCGCCGAGCCTGCATCCTTAAGTTTGCCTGTCCCTTAGAAGGTCCAGTTCACTTTCTCTAAGACATTAATGCCCTCCCAGAAAAAAATGCAAAACAAATATCAAAACCTTTAATCAGCTAAACGCTTCTATCCCAAGCAAGGAAACGTGAACTTACTTATTCGAAGAACTGAAATTCAATGATAAACCCAGGATAACTTTATTCTTTAAGGAATTTCCCAGCTATAGGATCCTCAGTTTTGCAGCATGATAAATCATGTTGGCACATAACGGCTACAAAACCCTCAGTGTGGGCAGTAGTCCCTGGAGGTTATGCTGGCTCTTTCCTTACAGACACAGAACAGAGAGGAAGTCACAGCTAGACAGTCCAGTACAAGTCATTGCCAGCTTGATGGCACCACAAATCTCTCCACACTGACTCATTGGGCCAAATGTTATAAACTCTTGCTTCTCAGCTTATGCCACGTTTTCCTGGGTATGTCACTAAACAGGCTACCCCTACCACACCAACACCACTTAGACCCTAGAGGACAACACCACTTCCTGTCATTTTCCAGGTGATTCTGAAGTTCTAGGTATCTGGCAACAACCTCTGGTACACTGTTAGAATGACATGATTCATGGTAAAACTCAGCAAGCAGCTCTTGCCAAAAGCAAAATACCATTGCATTCTCTTTGAGTTACACTAATGCCATATAAAATAATTTTTATTCTTCCAAATACCTGTAAAGAAACAATAACACCAAGAGTGATAATATCTATCCTTGTTTTAATGTTACAGGCCCTCGGCCATGACTTTATATGGATTATCTCATTTATCTTTCCCAAAGATGCTATGAGATAGAAATTACTATCCCCATTTATTTAACAGAGGAGGAAAGTGAAGTTAAGAGGCTAAAGAACTTGCACTGAGGTTTGGTTCCTACTTTTCAACTTTGGAATTGCTGACATAGATGGCTGAAGCCAGTTATCAGGAATAGACTTCAAACTTCTCTGCTCCTGGCCTATGCTGTCCTCACTAGACCTGCGCAGGGCTCACTGGTCGCCAAATGTGGCAGGATTTTTATCCTTTTCTCAAATATATCCCCAGCACACAAGGAGAACACTATGAAATTCCCTTCCTTCAAGGGACAGGCAAACGCCCAGTGGCTGAGACTCTAGGAAATTCATTTCCCTTGTGCACTGCCACCCATTAGAGATGGATTATTGACCTCAAGAATGGGTGATGGTGGCTCGGCGCCTGTGGCTCAAGTGGCTAAGGCACCAGCTACATACACCTAAGGTGGTGGGTTCGAATCCAGCCCGGCCCGCCAAACAACAATGACGGCTGCAACCAAAAAAAAAA